TACCTAAGTTGCATATATGTCTTCCCTAAAAACTTGTCGGTTTTTTTTAAACCCTTTTTAATGTTCAATCGTCAGACACTGCAACACAAGGGTATTTGGTACAGACTGCAATCAACTTCGCAACCTATCTAGTGAGAACGGCTGGATTTGAGGGGACCTGACCTCCCAACATCTGCGTTCTACTAGTGATACGTCCTTACCTCTTGGCGCTACATAAGGCTCCATCCTGTCACTTAAACTCCATTTTTGTTTCCAGACTATGGAACAATGCTCTTCTCCGACTGAGGGACTGCCCACCTCAAAACTTTAAGGGTGAGGATGAAAACATCGTCTTCAAGTATCTTCTGCTTCTATCAACTTTTCCCTGTACTCGACTGAAGAGACCTACTGTGTAGGCGAACGTTTCAAAATAAAGATACCTAACTGTTGCATATGTGTCTTACCTAACAACATGAAGAAAGGTTAAGGGAAATCGGCCTGACGACACTGGAGGACAAGAGGGTCAGGGATCACATGATAACGACATATAAAATACTGCGCGGAATAGCAAGGTGGAAAAAGACAGGTTTTCCAGGGAGGGGACACAGAAACAAGAGGTCAAAATTTGGAAGTTGAAAACATAGATGAGTCAGAGAGTATTAGGAAGTATTTCTTCAGTCACAGAGTTGTCAGGCCGTGGAATAGCCTAGAAAGTGAAAGTAGTGGAGGCAGGAAACCCTACATAGTTTTAAGACGAGGTATGATAAAGCTCATGGAGCGGGGAGGAGAGAGGACCCAGTAGCAAACCAGTGACGAGGCGGGGCCAGGAGCTAAGGGCTCGACTCCTGCAACCACAAATAGGTGAGTACAAATAGGTGAGTACTCACACACCCACACACACCAACACACACACACACACACACACACACACACACACACACACACACACACACACACACACACAAGACAGGGGAGAGAGAGAGGGGTGGGAAGACTGCATTTTTTTGGACTGTAAGAAGGGGTTTGACACGTTCCACACAAGAGATTGGTGCAAAAACGGGGAGGACCAAGCAGGGATAACAGGAAGGCACTACAATGGATCAGGGAATACTTGTCAGGAAGACAGCAGCGAGTCATGGTACGTGGCGAGGTGTCAGAGTGGGCGACTGTAACGAGCGGGGTGCCACAGGGGTCAGTCCTAGGTCCGTGCTCTTTCTGGTATTTGTGAACGACATGACGGAAGGAATAGACTCTGAGGTGTCCCTGTTTGCAGATGACGTGAAGTTGATGAGAAGAATTCACTCGATCGAAGACCAGGCAGAACTACAAAGGGATCTGGACAGGCTGCAGACCTGGTCCAGCAATTGGCTCCTGGAGTTCAACCCCACCAAGTGCAAAGTCATGAAGATTGGGGAAGGGCAAAGAAGACCACAGACGGAGTACAGTCTAGGGGGCCAGAGACTACAAACTTCACTCAATGAAAAGTATATTGATGTGTGTACAATACCAGGCACTCTCCTGAGGCGCACATCAACCAAATAACTTCTGCAGCATATGGGGCCTAGCAAACTTAAGAACAGCATTCCAACATCTAAATAAAGACTCATTCAGAACCCTGTACACCGTGTACGTTAGGTCCATATTGGAGTATGCGGCACCAGTTTGGAACCCACACCTAGCCAAGCACGTAAAGAAACTAGAGAAAGTGCAAAGGTTTGCAACAAGACTAGTCCCAGAGCTAAGAGGTATGTCCTACGAGGAGAGGTTAAGGGAAATCGGCCTGATGACACTGGAGGACAAGAGTGATAGGGAAGATATGATAACGACATATAAAATACTGAGAGGTATAGACAAAGTGGACAGAGACAGGATTTTTCCAGAGATGGGACACAGCAACAAGGGGTCACAGTTGGAAGTTGAAGACTCAGATAAACCACGGGGATGTTAGGAAGTATTTCTTCAGTCACAGAGTTGTCAGGAAGCGGAATAGCCTGGGTAGTGATGTAGTGGAGGCAGAATCCATACATAGCTTTAAGAAGAGGTATGATGAAGCTCACGGAGGGAAAAGAGTGACTGAGTAGCGGCCAGTTGAAGAGGCAGGGCCAGGAGCTGTGAATCGACCCCGAAACCACAACTAGGTGAGTAACTATGTGAGTACACACACACACACACACCTGAAGCTTACCTGGAGAGGGTTTCGGGGGTCAACTCCTCCGCGGCCCGGTCTGATACCAGGCCTCATGGTGGTTCAGTCTGATCGACCAGGCTGTTACTGTTGGCCGCACGAAACCCGACGTACGAACCACAGTCCGGTTGGTCAGGTACTGACCTTAGGTGCTGTCCAGTGCCTTCTTGAAGACAGCCGGTGGTCTATTGGCAATCCCTTTTATGTATGCTGGGAGGCAGTTGAACAGTCTTAGGCCCCGGACACTTATTGTGTTGTCTCTCAGTGTACTCGTGGCGCCGCTGCTTTTCATCGGGGGAATGTTGCATCTCCTGCCGAGTCTTTTGCTTTCATAGGGAGTGATTTTCGTGTGCAAGTTTGGTACCAATCCCTCCAGGACTTTCCAAGTGTATATTATTATGTACGTCTCTCGCCTGCGTTCCAGAGAAAACAGATCGAGGACCTTCAACCGTTCCCCGTAATTTAGGTGCCTTATCGTACTTATGTGTGCCGTGAAAGTTCTTTGTACACTCTCCAGGTCTGCAATGTCACCAGCCTTGAAGGGGGCCTAGAGAGCAC